CACTTCGTTTATGCCACATTTCAAACGTAGTGTTGTAACTTGTTGCAGTACAACGAGACAATTTTACTAAATAAATCGCATTATTGATGACTTCAGCCCAAAATATTTATGGTAAACCGGCATGGCTCAACATACTCCGTGATCTATCCAAATTTTGTCTGATTGAGCCTTTCTGACACGTCGTTTTGCTGTGGAGTATAAACATTGATGAAGTGAAGGGTAACTTCTTGTTTTCACAAAAAGTGCCAAACTCATGTATGTACTCCCCGCCCTTGTCAGATCGAAACAACTTCAACTTCTCTCTTGTCTGAATCTCAACTTGAGCTTTCCATTTCTTAAAAGTTGACAAAGACATTAGACTTGTGTGGAAGAAAGTAGATCCACACATATCTTGAGTAGTCATCAATAAACGTAACATAGTACTACTTCCCAAAATTTGAGTCAACAGGGAAAGATACTCACACATCAAGAATTATGTTGGAAATATGAACGCCAATTCTAAAAGCACGTCGCGTGTGCTCTTCAAAGATTTCAAGCTTGCAAGACTTCAAGCTAGGTAATAAAATCTGTTTGTGTAAAATGTTCATACCTTTTTCACTCATGTGACGAAGACGAGCATGCCACAATCTAATCTCATACTTCAATGACGTCTGTAGCATTGACCTCACCAAGAATTGTAGACCATTCTAAAATGTAGAAATACTTCCGCTTGTGAGCTTTTATTATCACGTTAGAACTTTTCTCAACTACGGAAAAACCATCAATAGCTTTTTAATGAAAAGCTTTCAGGTCGATTTTCCCGAGTGAAATTAAATTCTTACGCATATTGGGAATGTGCTTAACATTTGTCAATGTTAGTACTTTCCCATCAAACACTTGAATTTGAATGGATACTATACCATCAATCCTACAAGAGTGATCATTTTCCATTAAGACTGAACCTTGAAATGATGTGTAAGAATTAAAAAAAATTTTGATAAAACACATGTGATAAGAGCAAACTGAGTCCAAAATTCATTAATCTGACGATGAGGAAATATGTTCACAAGACATAGTCTTCATCATTGTTAGTCACAACATTTGCACATGGACCAACATATTACTTTCTCTTCTTATTACGAAAATAGTTTTTCATGTGGCCCAACTTGCCACACTTCCAACATTTCATCTCCTTCTTGTTGACTTCCCTTGACTTGGATCAATTTTGAGACTTGCTCACGATGGTGTATCTCTTTTCCAATCTCCCACAAGTGACATAGTGGGCAATAGAAGAAAATAAAGATGTTGAAGAAGATACTAGCTTTTGTTGGATGTCGTTTGTCAACAAAACTGTCACTACCTCGTTGTAAGTGATGGGCTTAGGGATCACTACCACATTGTCTCGATGAAGCAACACACAAGATAGAGTGTGATATGAGGTTGGCAAGGAGCTCAAAAGCTGCAATGTCTTTTTCTCATCACTAAAATCCTTACTCGGATTCAAAAGATACACCAACAAATCATTGAAATCATCAATGTGGTCTTGGATCTTTGTACCTTTGATCAATTTGAAGCTCATCAGCTTTAACGATGTGAAAAGCCGATTTGATAATTCCTTCATGTGATACTATGTTTGAAGTGTCTGAAACATAATCGTGAACTTGTTTCAACACATTCAGCTACAAGTAAAGAGTAATAATACTCACAACTTGATATTGAATCTCATTTCAATCCTTGTCATCAACATTCAAAGATTTTGGTTTGAGAATCTTTCCCAAACCCATTTCCTTGATCACATTCTTCACTTGTCATTTCCATAGGAGATAGTCGGTATGGCTATCAAAACGTTCAATTTCAAACCTCGGTCCATCACCCTTAGATAGTGTCATAGGTTTAATTGACCAATTTCCAATTTGATGACGTTTCGGACTAATTTCAACAAGATACTCGGAAAAAAAAGCTTGACTCCTCATTTTTGTCGTCTGAATACAGGAGTTTATCACCTTCCGCAACAATTGGAACAAGTTCCACTCCTTGCTTCAAGCTAGTCATGCCCAGAAAGCGCTCATAGTGTTAATAGTGCTCAACACTTAGCGTAAAAAATCGTCAAAAATTGAAAGTTTTTAGAATTGAAATTTGAAAATCATCCACACGTAGAACACAAGCTAATCCATTGGAATGTGAAAATGATTTGTCAAAATCAACTTCAAGTAAAAAATTATCAACCTCAAAGTTAAGGGTATAAAAACTTGAATCTAGACCCCCAAGTAAATCTTTACTACCAAAAATTTACACAAAATTTATTTTCAAAACCGTCTCTTGTATCGCGTGCTCAAATTGCTTGAAAACCACACTGCAAAATCTGAGCTCAAATTGACATCTTTTGCTTGTTCAATTACACCAAAATTGCCAAAAAAAAATACACTTTCTGTTTGATTCTTTTGTGATAGTATTCTTCACAAGGGCCATTTTGCCTTGTGCAGCTTACGTGTACCCTTTTAAAACTTCTTCCGATCCGAGTATTCCGGATCTTTTTCCGATCCAACATTTCCGAACCTTAAATTCGAGATTTGTCACTCCGAATTTACGTACTTGTGAAACCACCATATCCAAATTTGATCTCAAATCTTCAAACACCCATAATTTCGCAACCTTTTGACAAAATTCAACAAAATTTAGGTCAAAACTATCATCTCAAATAGTAGATCAAATCTATGTGAGAAAAAATAAAAAAATTTATTAACAAAAAATTCAGATTTTAAGAAATCAAAGCGGTTTCTTTAATAGTAGAATGTAAGAGAACTCTCCGCTTCAAATTTCAGAAACTCTCTAATCACTTTATGAAACTATACACTTCTTTCATCAAAGTGGAAATAGTTCTTCTGGTTACTTTTTTTACAGAGAATCAGATAATAATTATTTTAAATTGCGAGTAGAAATTTCGACATCACTTTCGCGCTCCTTGGTTTCTAAAATGGTGGAAAATGTACGTGCATTGAATGAGCTCTGATACCGATTGTAAGTCTCAACCATCCAAATTGATTTGCACGCACGAGAGTCACACCATCGAGATAATGTGGTTCATTGTCCATGGGCAAGAGTAAAAACTTCACTAAAGCATATGTGTATACACGGTGTTCATAGCCAAGCTCTACTCCTTTCTGTTCATTCTCTAAGTGCAATACTAATGTTTAAATTCTAAAACCTAAAACCCAATCCTTAACTGTACTTAGTGAATGGTTCTTTCTCTCTTCTATAAAAGAAGAGATAAGATGCACATTTCACCTAACCTCAGTTAACTTCACTGACCATGGTTATCACTAACTAAATCCAATATAGAATTAACCTAAAAGTAATTTTTGACAAGATAGAATACACATTATAAGCATAAATCTAGGGTGTAAGATTTGTACCCTAAACCTTAGTATCAATGTGCCATCATCTTGTAATCAAGAAGAACTGCATATAAACTAGTATATTTACTCTTCCTTTGTTTCAATAGCATCTATTAAGTGTTTCATGTCTTCAATTTATCTTTTGTCAATGCTTATTCAACGTATTCATTACATACATTTGAACTTCGGTTCCATTGTGAACTACTATAATTATTTAGGATTGGCTGTTTCCTGTGTACATCCGCTGTAACGAGTCACATGGACCCTGCTAAGTCTAACCGTAGACATCACTCGAGCCAATTAGGACCTAATTGGCAGAGAGAAATTAACTAGTTTTAGAGATAAATATAGTCAAACTATCTTTGGTAGAAACATCGCCACAGTCGTGGTTGGTAGGAGGAGTAACGTTATACCATGCCTCAAATGCACTTACAACCTAATAACGAGACGATTCAGAAGATTATTGTTGACTCTAGAACTTTTCCATCACTTAAGTTTTAGTTCTTGACATCCCAGAACAGAGATTGGTGCTAGTTTCAGCTTCGAAGAGAAGTTAGAGAGCCTATATCATGAATGGACACTCAATGATAGGTATCTCTAACGATGAAGCGGTTGTACTACACTTCAAGTTTGCGACCGTGGGCGGCTGAGAGATGCCACGAGTCCCGCGTGAGTATCACCGTTCTCTGCAGGGGGGCGTGGTTAGGAAGACAAGTGTCATAATCTAGACTATTCGCTTTCCAAATTGCAGTTCGGATATTTTGCATATATTTATCTTTTACTTTTCTCCATGAAGCAACGCATTTGATCGGTCAGACGCAGACCCCTATCAGAACGATCAGTTTTCTTGCACACGTCGTTGTCTCTCAGTGTTTGAACTTTAACCAACATTCCATCAACCAAATAAGAAAGATTAAGATCTGGTGCGTGAATTGACTTCCTCGCTTCGCGAGGAAGAGAGAGACTCCTCCGATTTTTTACGCTGATATGTTTCTTATCGTGTTGTTGATGCGCTTGATACCAGGTACTCTCACTTGCGTGACCCACGTTTGGTGGGCTACTAGGCTGACGTTAACACCTTAGCAATTGTTCATCGTATCGGTGAGGATTCAATTTTCCCCGTTATAATTTGTTGCGGGTAAGATGGTGGTGGGCGTTTGACATTCGACCTAAGCCATAGTATGATGTACATTATTGCATATCTATATCACATAGAAAAATACTGCCTATGTTTCATTCCCATAAAGAGGGATTTCAGATCAAGTCATCACATTCCTCTTCCACTTTTCACCACCTTGTCTTCGCTTCGACTTAACGAGGGTCCAAATATATTCCTGATGCAGGGTCCAGCCAAACTTAGTAGATGTCTGAAGGGACACTCCACTCCAGACGCACAAAAACAGTTCCTCTGTCCACCATCTAGACGTTAACTAGATTGGTGAATAGATCATATCGAGCCTAAGGCCCAGGAATAAACTAGGTCGATCTGTTGATAAACATGAACATCGGATTGGGTTTTGATTGTAGATGAGACATTGATGCAGGCCAAGGCTTTAAGCACTGGGACGAAAGAAGACATCAAAGACTGGTCATGCATAAGACTTAATCACATCTGTGCGAAGGGGTTGCGTCGAAAAGCAAGCAACTCCAAGCCAACCTGAAGGCCTGGGAAGGAAAGACACTTCATGCACGAATATGAGCACCTCACATATGTTGGACATTCGTAACTGTTCAAGTTCTGACGCTCCTTTAAAATCTGAGTCGGATAAGCCAGACATCACCATTGTCTGCCGGCATACAGACTTCTCGCGAGTCTGAACAAAGACAGTCTTTTGCAACAACCCTCATTCGTATTCTTGCATGTCTACATTCAATAACCAACAAACTAAGAATACAAAACAGGGAGTATATAGTGCTCGGTCAACGTTCAACGGTAGAAATCCGCATATCGAACAAGCTCATCGACGGTCCTGTCCACCCAGATCTTGCGATGTGCTACTCAGAGGATGAGAGGCCAGATGTCACTTCGGCACATTCATCTTTGGTGGAAGTGAGAGAATAAGGATACGCATCAGTTGCGAGCCATTGTTCGATGGTGAAGTGATGGTTGTTGCAGGACTTGCCGACACCTGAAGATGTCACTTCGACATAATCGCAGTACCAGCCATGGTGATCGCCCGTTCCATCCGATGTCAAATTCAAACCACAGATTGGGCCGTTCAAGCACTCGCCCAATCCACTGAATACGTCCACATTGTTCCTCTCAAAGTAGTCATGGTCAGCATCCAACAGATTTCCTCCCCACTCAGTGAGACTGTCCACTTTGTAAGAATTACCTTTCGAATCAAAGAACTGCGTGCTGATAGATGAATCGGTTCCAGCCTTGGGCAACCATCCGGTTTTCACAAAGATAGTGTACACACAGTAGTCCTGTACAAAGTAATTGTCACACGGCAAAGACTTAGTGTCTAGGTCGTAAAAGCCAGAACGCAGAGGAGTTTAACCATAACGAGGAGATAGATTGAGGAGTTGAGCAAGTTCAGCTGTCACAAGGCGATAGTTGGCGATATCACGAGGCACAGGCATTCCGCGCTGGACGCACTACCTTGAAGATCAAATAGAAAACATTGATGCATGCAGAAACTTGTGGAGAAAAACGGCAAAGAGCATTTTTTCGTACTGATGAGGATCGATGAAAAGAGTTGTGTACACTACCTTGGCGAACACCGTGGTTGAGGAGAGGGACAACAGGGCGAGGACGAGAACTCCGATGGCCATGGCCATAGCTTCTTGAAGAGTTTTCTTGACAAGATTGACACCTCACGGTTCTCCACTTGGTTTATTTACAACAGGCTACAATGCTCTGCGTACCAGCTCTTTGTTCCAAGGCGGGCTTATAAAGAAGCTCGTAGATTAGCACATGCGGGAATAAGGAAAAACTGTACAAACAAAATTGCTCCAGAACTGTACAAATCGATGTGAAATCAGTTGCGTCACACGAAGTAAATAATCTCCATAAAAAGCCTGAAAAGTCACACCAAATTGAGGAAGCCTTTATGACACAGGGAAAAGACAAAGACGCCTTGTAAAAGCACGCCTGTTCCAGCGTGCTAAAATGCTCTTGCCTTTGACCATATTACAGTGCAACAGAGGGGAGAGGATAGTGGAGGGTGGACATTGAAGTGGAGGTCAAGTGGGACCCGCGACGATAACAGGTGGCACCACAATTCAGAAAATGCTGCAATTTCACTTTCCTTGACAGTGACCTGTAGAGTGGATTCACCACAATCCAACGCTCCCTCCCAGCCCTATGAGATTTCCAGCTGCTCATAACTGAAACAATATCAATTACAGCGTAGTTGAAAAGCTCAGTTCCGCGTCAGATCTTAGATCTGGTTCGAAAGTGTTGATAACGCGGAACTTAAATCCCGCGTTTCTTTTTGACAGATAAGTTCTTCTGCTCATCAAAGTTCCCTGGAGAGCCATGCGTAGCTTTACCCTGCCTGAGCATTTGATTCGAGGAATGCACATAACGCATATCGGCTCGTGAGTCATAACAGTACTACAACAATCGACTTCGGGCAATACGGTATGTCGTACCATATATGCATCTAAAATTATCACAGATCGCTCACGGTTGTCAGGCGATCCCTGACAGACGATGCTCACCTGTTCCTCTACTGCAGTATATTCTGTACAGTTCCTCCATGCACACTCACTTGGATTCATTGTATGAAGAAATTTACTTCTGCATCTCTCAAGCACCATCATCTTGGGGCTCTGCTCTTAGTGCCTGCGCAATCCTCGATGTGCATCACATTGTATTTTTTGAACGATAAGACCATGCGTTAGCCACATTGTAGGCCTGCTCAGATTTGTAAGCCGGTAAGCTGGTAACTAACCCGAGCAGGTCTTGTCTTCTCGAACATTTTGATGAAATATATCCATTTCGACTTTCTTGGAGACAATCAGCTTGTGTTCAAAATAATTGTGCATAATATTGATCATTGATTCCTCGATGTAATGATCAAGGTATCAATGAATCAATTTACTGGAACAGTTCGAACTTCAAGGAGACTTCGACAACGATTTGAAACAGTTGATCATGTAGGGGTATCACAGCCTTTCCTAAACGTTCAGCCCAGGGACATTGCACGTCATACACTGCAACTTTGGAACGGGACAAGGTGTCAAAGATGGATGCCACAAGGGTATCTTGGAAACTTGCAGTCAGTTCATATCGCACGTATTTAGAAGTTCAATTTGTCATATGTTACAGGTATTACGTGCACGAATGTCCAACTGATTCACGAAACCCGGACAAATGCCAGATCTAAGGAAATTCCCTTAAGCCTTTTTATTTTAGCCATTTTGTATCGAAATATGTAATGGGATCTTTCATGACCTCTGACCTACCATTGTCATAGCCTACATGTCAGCTACCCTAGGATTCAGGAGAACATACTTCTCATATAAATAAGTATTACTAGATTTGTAAATTTATTCCACCAATAGAATATTGATAATATACCACTTCAGTATTTAAAGCAATTCACTCAGAGGGATACCTGAATATTTATTGTTATATCAAGTTTATATTATCAAGTTTTGGAAAACTAAAATGTAAATAAGGCTGCACAATCATCACCATTTCAAGAATATATGGTATGATTGACATCACTATGAGCTTGGTGTACCTTTATAATAACTAAATGAAATTACTGAACATGTGTAAACTTTATGTTTAACTATTCTATAATCTATTCGATAATTGTAAACTAGTCAAGAATTCTTGCAAACTAGAAACGATTACATTTATAAGATTTTAATAAAAATATGTATACTTCAAATAGTTGATGACACTACCTCTATGAAATAACAAGAAACTTGTATTAAAAGTTACATATCTAAAATTTTGAAATTGTGTGTGTATATATATATATATATATCATAATTTAATTATTAATATTATACTTCAAAATTTAAAGAATTGAAAAAATATATTGTGATCTATATGAATTGAGAAAATAAGATTTCAATTATTTTAAAAAAATACATGAAGTTGTGAATTGATTATCTATTTTATAATATGTAATCAATAAATAATATCATGAGTATTGTATGAAAATATTGATAAATAGACTTTCAAAGAGATTGATTTTATATTAAAAAATAAGGATATACTAAAAAGGATAGATATAATTAAATAAAAAAACCAAAATACAGTTAAGCACTATCACTTTAAAAAAAAATTTAAAAAAAAGTGATCATCTTAAATCATGATTCTAAAGATATCAAGATAGGCAAACATTTGAAACTTTAAAGTTACATTTTAATGATAAAATATCAGGCAGAATTTTAATTTTTAAGAAATATAGTATAGAAATATTTAAAATTTGATGAGTATATATTAGTAATGAAAATAATCGAATTTAATTTCCAAAATATTTATAAACAAAATATTCATGATCAAACTATAAAATACTCTTCTCACAGTACATTATTGCATAGTTTCAATAATATAGATCATGAAATCTAAAAAATAACAGTTTGATATATTAAAGGATATATATAAAATTTATATACAATTGAGCATACAAATTTTGACGTGAAAATTCTCAACTGATTGAAATTACAAAAAAAAAATTCATTCACAGTTTTTGGAAAATTATTTCTGTATTATCTTTGATATTAAATGAAAAAAAAAAACACTTATATGATTTTTAATAAAAAAAATGGAATCAACTTATCGTATTTTTTTAAATTAATAATAATTTTAATATTTTATCTTATAATATCCTCAATAATTTATAGGTCAATTATTTGTATTTGCTATTTTATATTAAAATTCTATCAAACATATCTTATCAAGATGTAGTTTCAAATTTCAAATTACATCTCAAATCACGAATTTTTATTAATTCAAACTTATATTTTTTTTCTTGCGGATTTATTTTTCAAAATTTAACATTTTGAAACATATTTCACAAAAAGTATGTATGTTATATTTTTTATTAAACATAAAATGAACATTTGAAATCACATCACTAAACGCACTATTTAAGTCGTATGTATTTATATTTTTGTATTTACATATAATTTTAGCTTTGATTAGAGGTTTAATATTTTGATTTTTTGACAAAAATGGATGACTCAGTAATTTTGTTGATAATGAGTTTTATGTTTGTACTCTTTAGCTCATGCTATTTTTTACCTTTTTGGTGCAGACATCAGAAATAAAATTCTCAGAAAGCCTGAGGTAGTGCTTCCTGTTAAAATAGAAGAGCCCATTGAAGCAGCTATACATATAAATTGTATGAAAATCAGGTATAACGAATTGCATCTACTGACTTTCATTAATAATTTGATAAATGTTGGTTTCAACCAACATTTATCAAATTCTCTCATATAAAGTTTCTACAAAATTCTCACAGATTCACTCATATACAGTTGAGATTTTTTCTATTCATAATAAACCCAATATAATTTTTACATTCAAAGAGTGTACTATTTGCCAGAAAGACCTCTGCAAGTTTCAAAATTTGTTTTTAGCTGTTAGCATTCCCCTCAAACTCAGATGTGGAACGAAGTAAGTACAGGACTTCGGTGTGGGGAGTTTTGGGTACTTCCGAGGATGGTATGGGGAAATTATAGTTAACCTCGCATTAAACAGGGAGATCTGCTTGTCTTGGTTGCGGAGATACGACAAGGTGAACTCTAATCAGAAAGATAGCATTTGAAGAAAAGCAGGTCGTAATTTAGTAAATGAATGTGGTTGGAACAATTCCATGTCTCTTTCTTTCATTGTTAAAGTAGACATATCTTAAGTTTATTTGTGAGATGTAATGAGAGGTTTGTTGCTAATAATACAACTTCTCTACTGTCTCAATGGAGGAGACATTTTTTAAGCAAGTTTAATGATATACCTTTCAGCTTTAAACCTCCATTAATGGGCCTAAGAACTTGATGTTTGATCAATCTTCAACTCCTGTTAAATCTACGTGACAACAATCCGTGAGAAATCGCTTACAATCGGATATACGATATTGAAGAGTAGTCTTTGGAACTGAATTGGTTGCCATCATTCACACGCTACTTTAAGGGAAATATTGTAATTGGTAATCCATAACGACAGGAAATTGAAGTCGAAGAATCACACTTCTGAACAAAAAGTCTGAAGGTGAAGTGAGTTATATCAAGTCTAGCACGGGAGTAGCCAATATTCTCGTTCTTCTACTTATACATTGTGGAAGAATTCCCTGTTTAGTGGTCAGGACAAGGTACCATGAACTCATAGGATGGAACAGAATGTGATGTGCATTGCCAACCTCCCTCTAGTTACAAGTGCGAATGCAGTGCGAAGCAAAGAGAGAGAGAGAGAGAGCACTGAATTTGCCGGACCGGAAAGTAAGCGGCGGCGAGGGGATAGCGCCTGGAGACATCCTCTCTATCCTACTGGGAATAGATCACAGTAAGCATGTTGACATCTGCCACATCACATCTGCCAGCGTGCCAGGCCACGCTGGAGCTGGGTATAGTGTGGTATGTGCGAGAGAAGATGCACCGGCGGGCAAGCGAGCGAAAGGTGCGACGAGGCGAACTTGCGCCTGGCTTCTGAGGACGCTCAAAGGCCGCAGCGAAGGAGAAGGTGCAGGGAGGTAAGGAACGATGAAGAGGAATGGGAAGCCAGGGAGTGCTGGGAAGCGGCAATTGGGAAGCGTAAGCAGGCTGGCTGGCTGGCGATGAACGCAGGCAGTGTCGAGACACAGGAAGGATGATGAAGAACAGGGAGCAGCGCGGAGCATATATGATGAGGTGCAGGTAGGTAATGGGGTTCTTGAAGATAATTAGTGCCCCTTCTCAATGTCAAAGGAGATAGCATATAATTCTTAGTAGATTGTAAAGCGATTGGTGTGGAACGGCCGGATCACAAAGTCTTTTTCAATTGTCACGTGCCTGGGGTTCTGTTCGTTAGTGTGGCACCCTATATTCCAGTCTCATATCCAGCTACACCAACTTTGTGGCATTGACCCTTGATTGCTGCTCGAATCTTGCCCCTTTTTCTCGTGAATTGTCCTGCTGCTTGCCTTCTTTCTGCCCCTGCTTTTACGATTTCTGTTTTCCTACTTCCTCCAGTCTTCACATCTGTCAAAGCTTTCGCTTTGCCGTTAGCCGTCCTTGTAAAGCGTGTAGAGAGGCGCGAACTCTCGATTCTTTTGTCGTTGTGGATTGACATGGTTCGTCTTCTGCCTAGTTTTGATTGCCCGAGCTCGAGTGCAGGTCATACGTCCATGAAAATTCTGGATAGCTTGTCGTCTTGTTAGGAGAGAAGGCTGCACGGTTAGGGTGACCATGCTGGTGTACACAACTGCATCACGACGTCCATGCCGAATGCTTACAGCAGCGAGACGACGTTCTAGCTCGAAAGCCCCACATTTGACATCAATCATTTAGTGCGAAGCAGTTGACCCACGTTTGGCTACTCCTCCTTTACCGCAGGGTAGATAGACCTCGGTGAAGTGGCGAAGGAAGGGATTGTTGGAGACAAGTAGAATTAGATATCAGGTGCAAGTCATGGAAGAGGTAGAGGGTGCAAAATCGTCCAGAAGTCAGAAGGGTGGTGGAGATACATCGCCAACGAATCCAAACAGACACCCGGTGAAGTCTGAAGTTTGCGCAGAGGTTCTAAAGCGGCTCGCGGAAGCTGGAGCTGAGGCCGTCGCCGCCCCCGGCTTTGCGGAGGATCTCCAGGCGCACTTTAACAGACTCCCGACGAGGTATGATCGGTTCTATTCCAAATCTTCAACCTATAGAGGGTATCAGCAAGACAGGCACTGATGGGGTGTCAAAAGATTCACTTCAGGCCGGTAATAGATCATATGGAGGCAGCTTTCAGCTGTGCAGGTCGCGATCACCTATGCGCCGAGGTTTCTACTAATGTAGTGGGATCATCCACTTACTCGATTGGGAGGTTGACGACTTTTAGACCACAAGAGTTCTCAGTCGCATGCTTCTTGTAAACACTCTCTCTCGTGGAAGGTATCGCCTATGTATTTCTTTGAAATATGTCGCCGGGTGAAACTGATGGGTTTTGGAGTACTTTTTAGCGAATAAATTGCTGGAGGTTTTTGCCCGATTTCTAGAAACCTCATTGGCCGAGCGTCAGCACTGGCAGTTGTTTCCACCGACTTTAGATCAGTAGGGGGAAGGTGGTGACTTTTGTTATTTCAGCACCTCATCCTGATTCTGTGGTGCCTTTCCTCTACGGCTCCCTTGGTAATTTCTTGGATGAAATGGCTGCTTTCCCTTGGGACATTGACAAACTTTGCACGATTGTAGCTTGACAATAGGCTGTCAGTGTTAGAGCTATCACTGCAGTCTATTAAACATCTGAACGAGCTTTCGAATTGCCGTAGGTATGCGCTGGATGTTAACACGGAGAGAGCTGAAGATGTTCTCACTCATAAGAATCTGCTGCACTTAGCTGAGACACCTGAAAATAGGCCTGCCTTTCACGTTCGACCTGTTCATGTGAGTTACCTAGGTCGTTCGTGTTTCTTACATTTAAACGTGAATCGATCATTTGGGGCCTTCTGAGATCTGCTTCTGAATTTCATAGAAGGCGAGTATCAGAGGCGTGTTCACTTTTTGAAATTGATCTACAGGATGTGTGGGATTTGTATGCCCGTCAGTAGTCAGGTCTTCCTTGGGTCTTGTTTAGGGTCCAGGCACGCCGACAGGTTTAACGCGTTACAGTTTCTGGGCAATTCCCTCGCGTTCGGTGATCTTCGTTGTCTGCTCCTTCTAGCGGTCTATCAGTGTGCCTAGATGGGTGTAATGTCTCATGTGGTATAGAGTTGTGATTCTGTTTATGTACTTCGAGGTCTGCAAACACATTGGAGTATCTCAACATGGTACCTAACTAGACGGAAAGTGGGCAGGTTCTCCCGGTTTCTTCAGATGCCGGAGACGGTTCGCCAGGGACAATCGAGGAGGAGGTCACGTCCCCTTTGAGTTCTCCTTCGAGGCATGATGATGCCGGCAATTTGATCGACCGACATTTCAAGATTAAGTAAACAATGATATAATCTATGTACTTCATTCGAGTTTCTTTGACTTCCTTCTTTAGTGCTTGGAATACTCGAAAAGTTGTGTGTTATAGTTAAAGTGAATGATGAGTTCATTCGATGGGCGAAAAAGTCGTCAAGCCTTTGTCGGGCGATTGGTGCGTGCGCGGAACGGATATGTATATTTATTTATGAATGTGCGAATTCCTATTGGAGATTGTTGTCTGATTTTAGCTTGTGTCTGCAGCCATCATCCACCTCCTTCTTTTGGGTCAACACCGAATCTGGAAGCCCTTGCTTTGGATCTGAACAATAGGCCTTCACATCCCGAAGAAGATAAAGATGACGCTAAAGATCACTCGTCACAGGGGTAAAACTCCACTCTGATAAAAGCAGGTGCAGCTTATTGGAAATCGGGCTGGTAGTTGAGATAAACCTGAACACTGCTTTAAACAGGCTTTACTCCTCAGAGCTTTTCAACTTCCTGGGTTGATGGATTGACTTTGCATATTTTTGTTGATGCCGACCATGATCTAAAAGTAGTTTTGACAACGTGCAATACTACATTCCCGCTTTCCTAATGAAACTTTTCAACAGTATGGATTTCGTGCGTTTTGCCTGTTCCTGCTTCGGCAGGAGACTTCTGCCATATAGTGGCCTCTTTAAAAAGCAATATCATTGACCCGTGTCCAAGATATGCATACTATGTGAGAGATACTGCACACACCACTTGAATACTGGGATTTTCTCTAATAGAAAGAATTTTGGTTGTAGTCTCAAGTTGCCCCATGCGCCAATGCATGAAGTCACGTTTTCGACAATTGACAAACCCAAGCTTCTCAGTCAGGTACTTAAACTATACGCCATTGCAACATTTCTCTATCAATGTCGCAGGCTCAGTTTATCCTTTCTTGTTTGACGTTATTGCCGGACGCTGGGACACATGATTAGTCATACTTGGGGTGATTTTGGTTGACCCAGATTTTCGTTTTTTATCGAAAGAAGCATCTTTTGAACTTATTGCTGTTTTTCTTGGAAAATATGGAATTTGTTCCTGTCTGAGGGTGGGACTGGAGAAGAGCATGATTATCTGGCTTCGTTTAAGTTATGCTTGTCGATATGATGACCTGTGACGTCTAAGTTATCGCTCGAGGCGTATTTCTGATCGAGTGCACCTGTGATTTGCAGTTGTCGGCTCTCCTAGCCGATGTAGGGTTGAATATCCGAGAGGCCCATGTGTTCTCTACCGTTGATGGCTACTCCCTTGATGTGTTTGTGGTTGATGGTTGGCCGACTGAGGTGAGCAATATTTTGGGCATCGTCTTTTCATGTTTATGAAAAAGGCCAAAGAACCTGGTTTTGATCGTGTCATTTGCCCTTAGCTTAGCAGCCTAGCTATCCTTCCATCTACGCTCAGCGTCCAAGATGCTTGCACACCTCGCGTATTTTCTTGTCCTTTAGAAATTGCATAGTGTGTGAAGAAAAGCCCCTCATCAGTCCTGTTAAGCTGCTCTCTTTGTTATCCACTTCTTGGACCTCGTCAAGTCATCAGGATACTCTCAACTTATTTCTTAGTGGCGTCCACTTCGAGAATGTTTGCCAGCGGCTGAAGCTTTATCTGGTTGGTTCTAACAGGACACGAAGGAGCTCGGAGAGGAATTGGAGAGAATACTTGCTAATATGGAGGTGCATATCCAGAGAATGTTTGTTTCGTCTTCTTTTTTGATTATTGCGTTCTTTTATGCACGTTTCATAAGCTTGGGTTTCCTCTCAAAGTAACAAAATGAAAATGACCTTGTTGTCCTCGGCCTGTTATGGTATACTTTTCAAGTTGTGGCGGTCGTTTTTCCTTTGACCCATGGACGTCTTGCAGTTGGTTTTGAAGTCAGCTTTCCTCTACTTTGCATTATTAATGTTGAAGATTTCTGTTCGACATAGCTGGTGACGCCTTTTTCCGACACATGGTTATTTAACCAAGACATTTTATCCGGTTTTATTTGCAGGAAGGTGCATGGTCCAAGTCTCTTGTATCTTCCCCAAAATCCTCACCTCCTCAACCAGCGGCAGCACCCTCTCCTCAAACACTCAGTCGGCAGGTTTCTTCTACGGACAGCACAAATGATTGGGAAATTGACAACAATCAGTTGAAACTTACGCACAAAGTGGCATCAGGTGCCTTCGGAGATCTGTGAGTATTCAGTAGGCTTAACTTCTTGGTCGCGTGTTCGTAATTAAAAGGCACAGTTTTTCCACGGAAATGTAGTCAGAATGACACACTTCAGGTTTCTGGGTGTATCTGTATCATGTCTAATTTACAACTGCGTCAGTCATAGTTACGAGTGTCAAGGATTGGGGCATGAACCTTGAAACATTCTGTGGCTTATTTTGTGCAGGTTTCGGGGTACGTATTGTGGACAGGATGTGGCAATCAAAATCCTCAAGCCCGAACGCCTCAATGATAACTTGCAACGCGAATTTGAGCAAGAAATATTCATCATGAGGTAATGGGAAGCTCTTTTATTCGCGATCTAATGTTGCACTTGCTTTCATTGCTTGCACATATGTCTCGTCGGGTTACCGTGATCGCATGCGATCTGACCGTTTTTCTGCAATCATTGTTTATTCAGGAAAATAAGACACAAAAACGTTGTACAATTTATCGGGGCATGCACCAAACCACCCAATTTATCGATTGTAACAGGTGAGTACTGAAGCTTTGACTTCAGTGTCAAAGCTTTTGAGAAGTGCACTGACGGAATGGTCTGATTGCAGTATCCTTCTCTTTACACTTAGGGTGGTTTTGTTTTTTATATCATTAATTAGTGTAGCTGTTGATTCCAAGAGAATGTTGTGGATACTTCCCGACAGCCGCATGGGGGTTGCGTTCTTTAGTTGATGCTTCAGGTTACGTGTTGTCTTTAATCTTACTCTTTTCCAGATTTTTGTTGAGTTGCCACTTGTTTCTCGGTCGCAATCTTCTTGCGTCGTTCCGTTTCTTTTCGCTTCTTGTCCAAGCTTCAGCAGATATGTGCAGCACAAAATGCTTACTGGGTCAGGCAAAGCTCTCGTGGTCTCGTTGTGATCACGTGCTTTTACATGTTTTTGATCAACAGTCAGTTAAAGCCCCCTGAACGAATGAATCTGGCATGCTTTTCCCTGTGCGTTCAATTCGTGATGATGTTGCCACTTTCAAAATGCAGAATACATGTCTGGAGGAAGCGTCTATGATTATCTGCATAAGCATAAGGCAGTATTGAAGATTCCTATGCTTCTGAGAGTGGCAATGGACATATCTAAGGGCATGGACTACTTACACCAAAATAACATTATACACAGGGACCTGAAAGCAGCAAATTTACTCATGGATGAGAATGAGGTATTGTCACACCGGATTTGAGGGTCTATGTTTCTTTTCTAAGCTTTGTGTTTTGGTTCAATAGTTTGCTTCTGTCTGCTAGCAAGTAACTTCCGGAGTGTGGGCAAACAGGTCGTCAAGGTTGCTGATTTCGGAGTTGCTCGAGTGCAAGATCACAGCGGCATCATGACTGCGGAGACTGGGACGTACAGGTGGATGGCACCTGAGGTAAGGAATCTCTTCCTTTTTTTCTGTTTTCTATAACACATAGATACGAGGAGATTCTATTGTTCCGTATATGTAAAGAGATTGGGGAGTCCGTTCAACCTTTAAATCGAGATGACGGTCGAAGCAGTATGAAAGTGAATAACGCATGGATAACGATTTGACAGTAATTCCTCTTTTCAAGACATGCAGGCACTCGAGCCAACCTTTTAGGTCTTCTCGGCTGTAGTAGCCGTAGCTTTTTCTGACTGAAAGAGGAGTGAAAGAGGAGACCCTTGGAAGGTTGACGTAGGGATGTATAGTAATTTTATTAATGTGTCGACTTTTTTTCTAAACTAAGGCCATTGTGCCGATTCGCTTCTTTATTAGGTTTTAAGAGTTCTAACTTACGTCATGGTCCACCTTCAAGCGAATGGATTTGCAGTCATCAGATCAAGATCATCTGCCTTTGGGCCAGTTGCTCAGTGTGTCGCTTATACGTAAGACAATATGCCTCCGCAGGTCATAGAGCACAAACCATACGATCGCAAGGTGGACGTGTTCAGTTTTGGAGTAGTTTTGTGGGAGCTCCTGACCGGAAAGGTACACCGAGCTTACACATGTGGAGACACAACTTGCTGATGTTTTAGATGGAAGTTTTGAAAATATCTGCCTACGTCATAGAAGTATATATCTCACGCTTTAGGAACCATGAATAGGTGTGAAAGTTATTTATACCTTAGTCGTGCTTACTTAATCCTCCTGGGTTTGACCGGAGGAGAAATGAGCAAGTCGCATTCTTTACTTAAGTAGGGAGAATATATATCTTTGAAATTGAACTAATATAGGATAAATATGGGTGTATGTCACGCAGCTTCCGTATGCAGATCTAACTCCTCTACAAGCAGCCGTTGGAGTGGTGCAAAAAGTATTCATATCCTACCCTTTTACTATCCAAATCTTCAGTCGTAATGTCCACTTTGTTTTAGTATCGCAAAGTGTAATGTTGTTTTATTTCGTTGTTTAAGTGAGTGAATAATGACATAAGTTAAGATCTGAACCAACTGAAGATGTGGGGCTTTTGCATGCACAGCTGCTTTGTACAGTTAAAGTTCTCTAACTTAATTACTTGAATCATATATGAAAATGACGTGCATCGACTAAATGGCAACGTATATTTTTTTTTTCAACAAGTTGCTCACTGAGACAAACCTAGGTGTTTCATTCATGTCCACGGTTCCGTTTTATGTTGGCTAGTTACTTGCTCTATAGGAGAGACTGCACGTAAGATCTGCCCTGAACCTGCTGTATCTCTGCCTATCCAGTATCACTTTTGCAAGGAATCACCTCCTGTCCACTTGATTCATCATTGGCTTACACGTTACCTTGGGATTATTTCGGCAGGGTTTACGGCCAACTATTCCGAAGCACACCAACCCGAAGCTTGTAGATTTGTTGGAGCGCTGTTGGAAAACAGACCCAGCAGAGAGACCCGAATTTTCTGAGGTTACTGTCATTTTGCATGATCTCTTGAAAGAGATTCGCACGGTAAGAATCATTGCCTGTTATCCACGTCAGCTCGTCTTCTCTCTAGATAATGTATCGTACTTAAAGCCTCTCTGTAAGACTTGGAACAGAGATCTCTTTACAATCAAGTGTAGCTGGAGTCACTTTCCACCGGGAAGCTTTGAGGTTCTCCTGAAGACAAAAGCAAAAAGTCTCGAGTCTCAAAGTTGGTACTCAGTGGTCATTCGGATGCCAAGTTATCATAGCGTCACTGATGATTTTCAAGTAGTTAGTCTTCGTCCGAAGGCAAGTTCGTAGAGGCCTGCATGTAGTAATGAGTTGACATTCATTTTTCAGGTAGGAGAAGACGATCTTAAACGAGGAGAGAAAAAGGGGTTTCTTTCGGCACTGAAGCGGAGTGCTAACAATCGTTGACGTACAAGGTAGACTTGAAATGAAGTATGTATCTGCGAGATCGTTGGGTAGCATTCGTATGCTGTTTTGTGATGTAAATATTCGTTAACATTGTGATATTCGGGTTTCAGAATCGATTGTTCCTCTTGACTGCCATATCGGACGAATGCAACGGAGCGGGATCTGGACTCCACGGTCAGACTCCTAGAAACTTCTCCTCGACAAGTTTCCTACAGCACCTCGGGTAGTTTTGCTTGTGAGCAGCAGCCGCTTGCATACTCTGGGAACCTGCTATCCCATTATCTGGCAGGCAACAGGCCAGTGTCAACTGTCGACACTTTCACTGTGCTAAAAGCAAGGTGCTGTGTGGTTCTGTACTGGTTCTCTTCCATCAGGTCATTTGTACTAGCAGCTCCTTGACCACGACGAGTGTATCAGAGCTTTCAGACACGGGAAGGATGGAGAGCTTGGCAGCAAAATTTTTTGCGAGGAGGTGATGGTCTCCTTGAGCTGCATCTGTTTGGAAAAGTTTTACAAGTAATTACGCTCGAGGAGGCAACGAGGAAGTTAAGAGAAGTGAGGAGCTGTGAAGAAGTCTAGTTTATCTGGTGGAGATGAGATCCTTACTAATTGTTGAAGTCTTTCAGCCCATGGGCAGCTTCTTGAAGCACAAACTAATCCATGGCCATTTTGGATGGTTGCTTTTTGAGCTTATGATCTTGGACTGGAGAGAGTGTTAAATGCTTGTGATCTGGAAGTATGCAGAGATGATTAATTTGGAGACACTACAGGTTCTTTGTGTAATTTGATGAGTATTTTGGAGACTGCCACGTTACCCCAGATTCTAGTGTAGTTAGCTGATGAATGTGACGACCGTGAAGTGTAAAGGATGTTTCAGTTGAGATTGCTCAATTTATGAGGTTATTGTTTCCAAAATTTAAGTAGGACTGAGTTGACAGACATGGCGAAACTTTAGGACTTAGTCGTCAAGGCTCGTCGGCGGGCTTCTTGTTCATATCAATCTTACACCGGTGCCTTGCCCTCCAATCATTTAGCATGGGCTTGAGCGGAAGGATTGACCTGTTGGTTTCGAAAGAATCCAGTTTGGACTTAGACCAGTTTGAGTTCTTCATGAATATATTTTTGATCCGTAGAGCTGGTGTGATGCACACGTCCAGGGCAATCTCTCTATGGTGTGTCTTCTGAAGGAACGAACCGGGTCCTGGGGTAGGATTCATTGGTTCCCATCTTATGTCGTATCAGAAAATTATTAAAAACCACGACTTGGAAATCTTACTGGGGCAAGGCAACAGAACAGAAGGTCAACTCCGCTGTACAGGGGATCACATGCGTCATTACTTCACGTACTGGTTGTTGTGTGTCTTGCAAAACTCGTTGCTTGTATTTCGTAAGTGTTGCAATCCTCTTTTTGGCTGTCGTAGGGGTATAATGCGTAACAATGGTGGGATATTACGTAGCAAAGGCTCTGTAGCATTTCCAACGTGTTTGACCCGGTGTATGTACCATGAGTGTGTTTGTGTCGTTTTGAATACGTTGTAATTTTATCTACTGGGGTCTCTTCATCATATAGTCTGCTTGCAAAGCTCACAAGCGATTTGGCTGAGCTGTAAGGTTCCTGCGCATGAATTTGTTATATATGCCTTTAGGTAATGAGTGTACCGGTTCGTGTACCGTGAGCATTCCTCGCCTTGACCCAAAAGACGCCCATTGGAGTGTGTAAACTTTGATCCGGGAATGTCGTAGGCTGGTCCACAAGTTTGCTGTGAGTCCATTTGAAGTGGACATTTTTTCGGAGCGGAAAGTGAGGATCCTCGAAGGCCCAAGAGCTTTTTCCCGAAACGAAGCGTTGCCTCGGAAGTTGAGGAAGTGCAGAATAGAGGATGTGAAGTGGAGAAGAGGAAGACATTCGGCTTGACACTTTGTGAAGTGAAAGTACGTCACAGACGGAATTGACAGTGCCGCTTCGTACGAATCTGCAAACTAAACACGGAAATTTTATGCTTGCTTTCGGGATCGGGTGTTTTACGTCTTTTGAAGTGAACGGACGTCCGCCTAGCGTGGGAGCAATGAATTTGGGACAGTAGGCGAAATGAAGGCGAAATTCTGATCATGCAAGGTTTCGTCGTTAGTCCAAGCCTCGTTACTATCCCCGAGTAGGAATGTCGCATATGCAATCATCTACGGTGGGAATAATGGTGAGGATGAGAAATCTCAAACACTTCACCTTGTGTATGTACATGTACTTTTACACAGCCAACAATAACTGCACATAACCGTGGGCATAATGGAGACGAATCTGTGATAAGAGCATTTAATCGAAGGCGATGTGAAGTAGTAGTGCCCAACCACCGCACACTTTTTGTCACACTTTTTTTACTCAGTTTACTCAGTAACTGAGTAAACTGAAAATGATTATCGTCACGAGAGAACAGGAATTCGGAAACTTTAATATACTATAATATTATGTCCAGTTAATTCTCCTCATCAAACGAAAACTATTCTGTCTGCTCTCTGCGGCAGCTTTGTACTTTCTCAGAACACGTCGGTTTGAGTTGACTGTGCACGCTGTTGGTCGTTTGAACACGACAACAATGAATTTCTGGAACTAAAGCTAGCACAGTCCGGATCGTCATGACGATGGTACCCACGGGTATAGAACCTCACGAAGTGTCTGAGGTCGGCATATTTTTGCAATTATGTCTCTTAACTGTGTGTTGAAGTTCTAGATGCAAAATGCGCAGATCAAGCGCACTTACAATTTTATTATTACTCGGACTTAAATTTTCAAATTTCTGCTTGTTTTCTACGCTACTCCAAATATTAATAGCAGAATGTTCTGCAGCAACCTTTGAAACATGTGATTTAATAAGAAATTTTTCTATGCTTTAGTAAGTGAAAATGAGGAATCCTCCTCGTTCATTTGCAACTGTCTATAATTTGGTTTGAATTCTGAAGTCAATCGTTAACCTCTATCTAATGCTAATGTAAGGGGTGCGAACTCTATCTAGCCTTTCTAATGAACACATAAAGATGTAATACTCGAAATCCGAGGAACTCAAGTCTCCTTCAGGACCGTAGGTTCGAGAGCCTGGAAACCTGTCCCGGAAGAGAAAGATGCCCCACCATGTAAAAGTATCTCACCCCATATATACTTCCCGCTGTACTAACATATAGTCGCATCCGGTGAGACCCATTGCTCCGACTTTGCTGCATACTCATTGAATTGGCGCATAGAAGCAGCCAAGGCAAGGTGAGACTGACAAGATAAGTCGCCCGGCTGAAATCTCCAAGGAGGCCCATTGTCGAAGATACAATACAGTAATTGAGTTTCTGGGTCATGAAATTGTCTTCCAGCATCAACAGATGCTAGTACAGGTTTCTCTTGAAAGGTTTTGTTCTGAGTTTGTTGAGGATGATCACTAAGTCGGAGCAGACTGGACCTCGGAGGCTTTTAGAAGTCGATGAGGGATCAAAGGTTTCAGTCTGCTCGTGAATGCCGTGAGTGGAGAGAAAGAGAGACAGAGAGACGGACAGACAGATCACAGTCTAAAACTTCATTTTCCTACGCGAGAAGGGCTGCTGAGCTCTATAACTGTGAACGTGTTGAGTTGGAAGACGAGGTCGACGAAACTTCTTTACAGCAGTTGTAAAGGCAATTTGGTGTATCGAGAGCTATGTCGACACCCTTGCGTACGTCGTCTCCCTCAGATTTCATTCTCACTCTATGGTCATTTCCAATTTCGACAACCTGCGAATGGCATACGGGCGACGGGTTCCAAGGGCATTCTTTTCGGCTCGACCGGTCCGACGTTGCCACAGTTTCTTCGAATGACGTAGATGTGAAGCGGAGATGGTGTCAAGAATAAATCGTACTCTCGTAAGGTACGTTGGTGGCAGGTAACCAGTAATTACCGCCCAGAAACTTGGGAATACCATACTTGCTCACATCGTTGGCGCTCTTGACCTGCTTCGACCACCAGACTCGTTGCTTGGTACTGGACCCCGGTCCCCGGTTTTGAAATTCGGCGTAGTAACAGGTTTGCAAGGCCCAGTCCCCTTGCCAAAGGAGCCAGCCCGCAGGATTGATCACCTTGCCGAGATAAGATCTGATGAACACCGCACGAGCGTACTGCTTCCAGGGCCTGCCCAGGAACGTGGGGTACATGCTGATGCTTCTTTGAAGATCTTTGCCTCCGTCCAAGGTGCAGTTGTGGAACATCAATCCAGTATTTTGACTGGGGTCCGTTCTTCCTTGCGCCGCAATTGTGTTCTGCTGGCCTCGCAGCGGAACTAGAGGACGCAGGCTGCACGACTGGAACAACGCCGCTCCGTTGCCGAAGACGAAATCCACGGTCCCTTCGATCGTGCACTGGTAGTAAAACTGCCTCAACGAGTGCGCGTACAACGTATCTTGGTAGGCCTCGAACGAGCACTGCCACAGCGCGACCCTGTCAGCAGACACTCGCATGGCCACGGCTTGGTGACTCTGGGGCCCCGCTGTATTGCGAACTGTGAACCCCTTGCCGATGAATCCTGCTCCCTTGATGACTGCAATGCAGCACAAAGACGGTCAATCACGCCGCTACTTATCGAGGCACTCGGAAGACAAGGTGCACACAAGCTCAGCCATTCGTGAGAATCAACTTACTCAATGTGGCGGACAGGAAGGTGGTGACTCCCTCCATTTGCACGTTGCGGCTGCCGGTGATGATCGTCTGCCCTATGCCATCTCCCAGGAACATGAGGTTGGTCTTGGACTTGGGAACCTCGAATTGCCCCGAGTAGATTCCCTTCTTGATGTAGATCACGTAGAGCTTGTAACCCTTATCCGGAGCTGCATCGATCGCTGCCTGGATGTCCTTGTATTTTCCACTGCCGTCGCGCGCAACCACGACGTTCACCTTGAACGAATTGCTCGCCAGATGACGGCGGGCGTGTGCGCCTATCCAGTCGGGAAGAACGTCATCCGTGGCCTGCTCGGGGCGTTCTAGCAGGCCTCGGTCGCGCCAGAGTTGCGTCCATTTGGACAAATCGTCGCCCACGCTGGTAAGGCTGTTCACGAGCGAGAGCGCAATGCTGAGAAACTGGTTCACAGAAGCTCCCAACTTGGTCATTTCATCCCTGGCAGTGCTGTTGGCCAGATCCTCGAAGCCGTCGACGCACGTCGTGAGGTCCGTCAGGGCGGCGCTCATGAATGTTACGGGGTCCTCCAGCTGCTCCGGCACGGAAGCAAGGTTGAGCGACTGCATCAGGCTCGACGTTCTGTTGAGCATGTCCAGTGCATCGTCCAACAGCTCCTCGCAATCACTCAGAGCTGCCAGGAGATTGGTGTCGGTCTCGCTGGAGCTGAGATTGGTGGCAGCCACCTTCATGTCAGTGACTTGGAAGTGAGCCACATTGACGGACTTCTGCACCAAGTCCTTGGAGTCAGTGACGGGAGGATCTGAACCAGTTCCGGACTGCAGGGAGTCCTCGCAGGTCTGGGGGTAGAGAGTGGTGTTGCAGAGAGTGACTATCATTCCCGGGACGCTCTCATTGTCAGCGTTCTTGCTGCCGTTCTTGACCAGGGGGACGACGATGGCCGTGCATATGACGGCGACCAAGAGGACGCTCAAACATCCGATAATTGCCACGCGACGACGTGTGCGGACGCTACTCTCTTCGGCTACTTTCGGAGCAGATATGATGGGAATGCACTTGTTACTGGCCAGCACGTTGTCCGAGCTAGCATTGTTCGGGTCCAGCTTGCCGTAGTGATTGAAGGCGTTCAGCGAATTTTCCTTCCCGGTTGCTGCATCTTTCCATGTGTGCGCAGCGGCAGTGTCCGACCCCATCGATCGAACGCTGACTCGTGCGTAATGTGGCCGTATCTATCCTATTTTTCTAGCTGCTGGATGGATATGACGACGGTCCGTGCCTCGCTCTCTCCGATTCTCTTCCCTGCGCTTAATTTCTGAGTCGATATGCTTTGAGATCGACCGACAGCTTCTCGCTGCAATCCAAGCGAGGCGAACAGCCGTTCCAGACCAGCGCCACTCCGAGTCTGACAACTACTGATTGACTTCCGTCTCTTATGTCTGTGGAACGACTAGTCCTGCTCTAAGTTCGCAGGTCGAGCTTCGGAAATCTTCAGATCTGAGCTTTAAAGGTCCCGGCACAGGGTAGGGGCTGAGCATTCCCTACCCGTTCTCAACCCCCTCCCTGTGCAGGTGGAATGCGCTACAGGCGAACGAGAGTAGTGCTCCGATCGTGCGTTCAGATTATTTTGTCAAAGCCAGGTATCCCTTAAGGCGTGCGCCATAGTGCTCCATCGCTCCCGGCGCCCACCCACCCACCGCCATTTGGGCCCACGCCATTCCGAGGCGGACCTGCCGGTTCAGCGAATCGGAACTGCTAGGAACTACTACAGCGTGTGTTGGAGCATGTGTTGAAGCAACTCGCGCCTCTGGGTACGAACGAGCTCCGAGCGAAGTCGGCACTATTTCTGAGGACCTTGTACACCAGGCCGTATAGATCCTCAATCCTTTCGTTAGTTTCATCGCTGAAGCCCTTATCACAACTTATTATTAATCAAGGCTTCGAATCTAGCCGGACCATCGCAGACTCCATGCGTGAAATTCGAAACTGTACATGGTCACTTGTGCCTGAAATCTTTGGGGCCGGACAAACACGACATATCCCAATCCCAACTCAAATTGCAGGAACATTGCTCGACTGTTGACTGGATTCTCATGTTGATGCATATGAGGGAGAATTTCCGGGAGCGAGAAAGTCAGCTTGACCGATTCCAATATATTGATTTGATACGATGCGGAGCTAAGAAAGCTGCTCACTTGCAACTCGAATCTGAATATTTTATTTTTAAGGACCAGCCGTCACGTATCCGGATATGAGGATAGAGGGCGTTCAAGCCCGATAGGCGCTTTCTCCGGCTGAGCGAGCACTTTTCTGGACGATTACAGACTGTCCCCACAATGGTCCATGCTATTGGCGCAATTCGCGAACAGGGCGTTGGATTAGACCAGACGCGGCCGTGCGAATTTTCGCAAGCTCGCCAAAGAGGCTGTGCCGCATTTGCAGAGTTACAGTTGTGTTTTCTTATCCACCGAGCATCGACTGGCTCTGTATCTGAATCCCGCAGCATCCATTTCACCACAATCAGCAGGTATGTTTTAAACACGTCCAGCCTCGGCCCTTTCCTCGCATAAAAATGTCCATCGCTCATGAACAAAGATACTCACCGGCCGGCAAGACGAATCGCAACACGAGCAGTGAATACGGGAAAGAGCAGTGGGCCCCGCCCTCGTCCACATATGCTGCTGCTGTTGGGTCTCTCACTGTGATGCAGCTGCACACTACCCAGGTCACAGACACAACACGGCACCGAGCCACGCCACGATCGAGCTGCAAGTTCGGCGCTCGTCGTAGCATTCATGTGACAGTTTGGTGGTCCCGGCTACTTGCCGTGGACTTGTGCGTAGTCTTAGTGCTCTCGCGAAATCTAGTCCAAAACTTACTGGGAATCATAATTCTGGAAGCACTCTATTTTCAGCTCACGCGTTCGCGCTTTACTTTCGTTGAATCATTTCCGTCTTACTCACTTGGACATTCTGCGCTGCATCTGGAAGAAATCCTGTGCAGATTTCTGCTTCTTACGCAACCCCTCTAACAAGACCTTCGGATGAACCTGAAATATCTAACGCAACCTCTCACGTCATTCGAAACAGACAATTACCGCGGGTGAGTGCGATCCTTCCAAGCATGCGCAGGAACCTTCCCGTTATGACGCAATCTTGACTGCTGTAAGTCAGCTCAAGCGGCTGTCATCGGAGTCGATACACCCCTGAGTTGACTTGTGTTCATCGAGGCAAAGCAAGCTCGCTTCTGTTTCGCTGGGTCTCTTACAGAGACCCTTGCATGCTTTGAGTCGGTCACCTCCTTCGGCGTATCATGCCATCAGCGCATGATCTAGTCTCAAAACCCACTGCAAAGGAGGGTTCGACAGCTTGTGAACTCAGTATGATAATATACCAGTGCCTTCCTCTCTCCGAAGCATGATGATGTTAAAATGTTTCATCTGGAGGTGATAATAGTACTCGAATCTTTACAAATCTTCCTCTCCTAAAAAAGAGAGGGCACGGGGGAAAAGACAATCTTTACATCGAAGGCCTAGAAAATCGTCAGTGCCAGGAATTGATGGTCTCCGTCTTAGAATCGTAGAGCGAAATTCACACTTTTGCCTAGGTGGAGCGTAAAAGTGAGATCAATCTCATATCATTGCGATCGGCTCACTACCTCGATTTTGCTTCTGGGACGAATGGACAGTGCCATGATTAGAAGCAAATCACTGCATTCTTGCGAAGGGAGGGTTCCACCCCACAATGTAAGACAAGGGTGTCCAATGGCAGGAAGAAGCAGACAAATTCAAGCTAAATGCGCAACTAGTCAACGACATGGGCAAAGGCTGGTAAATGGGGACGGATCGTGGGACGATTTCATGCAGATTGTTCGGCGCCACAGTGGCAGCTGTCAGAGGTTGGGAGGGCAGGGATACTGTAGGTAATGGAGGAGATCCTTGCTGGTACCGTGGTTTCTCCCGCTGTGTTGCTCAGGAATATGTCAGCAACACCAAAAGCTTTGTCTGATTATATGCTCGACTATCTTTAAACTGTGGTCTATATGGTCAAGTGATCATGCACGTAGTTGACAAAGCTAGCTTCTGTGAGCTCCAGTTGCGTTCGTCCGAAGCGACAAAAGACGATGTTCTCCTTGCTCTCCCTCGCACTCGCAATGAGCCAACCTTAGACAACCCACGCGCCGAACTGAACTCAGCACAGTGTTGCAAAGTCAAATTCTGCCCGTACGTAGCAGTCGTATGCACAACTAGCATCAAGCAGTGAATCACCTTCTATTTCGCGGTGTGAACACCGTTTCTCGTGACTGCTCAGGTCTATGACTTCCGTACGACGTACCTACCTTCATGCTCAAGGAACCAGGCTCATCGTCTGCCCCAGAGGTTGCAGACTCAATACCCAGTGGTGTGCTCTGCCATTGTATCTATCGAAGACTGCAGGATTCCGTATGTGATGATTTTTGTTTAGACCGAGGATGTGAGCGATCGTAGGTCTTTCCCATGCGTAGGTTGTGTGAAGATCCCCGATATGAGATACGCGATGCTCGAATCATTGCGCCATCTGAGATCTCTAATGCGAGGGCTAGGACATTGACGATTTAGGTAATGGAACCTAATCGTGGATTATTCCGGGACCGGTTTATATAAACTATAAAAGCGCATATTCTGCGTTTTCTCAGATTGAGTGAAGTATGCCAAGTAGCTCATTTTCTAATCTTCCATATGACTATACCGCCTAATTTCTTTTAGTAGATGTGTTAAACTCTTTGTGCTTGTATGAGTGATGAGAAAGAAAAATTCCAAACTTAGATACAATTTACCTACTTCAATATATTAGATCATAATGAAGTAGCATATGATAAAATGCAAGACAAATTCAACTAGGTATCAACTGATTAAGTACAGAGCCAATACTTTCCTTACAATATAAAGTATTTCATAATTAAAGTAGTTCTTGGAGAATTATAGCTATGTATAAGTCACTTTGATTATCACAATGAAGATTGAAGATTTTATGGTGAGAAGAATACTATGGTTACACTATCCAACTAAGGCCGCTGCCACATGACCGGCAGCTGGCACCAAGCTCATGGCTGGAAGAAAACCAGGTTTTCGTAGGCAAGTTGGAGACAATCCCATAACCTCTACCACGCAATCCCATAATCTCTACCACATTGCCGGTAGTGGCTTGGGAGTGAAAAGGGAGAAATGTCTCTACTAAATGCAATGCAGTGGGAAGAAGTACTTGGAGAAGTAAACCAAAAAGGCGCAAAACTATATGTGGAGTTGATAAATTGTGGAAAAACCGGATTTCCAAGCGGAAGTGACTGGTAGTTTGGAGCAGTTGATTTCTTTGCCACCTAGTATATGTCAAATTGCCGCTCTCTCCAGTGTGATAAAGGGGGAGCTGGCCTGCCAATGACAGGAGAGGGTTCACTACCGCTGCCGGTCGTGTGTTTTGGCCCTACTTTAACTACTTTGTTATTTTAGTTCCCGCTACATACTCAACTTTTGTAGCTATTTGATAAATTTTTACCATGTAAATTGTTACTTAATGCATACACTTCCACTTGTAAACATGTATCTCGTTACAGATTTATTCCATTAACATCATTGTCCATATTCACTATTTACACATCTAATCAATGATTTGACACTATATAATTTCACATTAAGCACAATATCAAAATCTAACATGGTTGTGTTACGAGAAGATGATGACATGTGTCATTTTCTAGTCTATTGATATGTAAGGTATAACTTACATTGTAGATGATTAGATTTTGGTCTTGCAACAAAATGTCTTAATCTTGACAAGTTGTGGATTAGTTTTGAGTGATGAAAATGATGATAAAGCTTCAAGTACATAGATCATGACTAATATAGTGAGATTCAAAACTAAGAGGTTTTTGAATCTAAGTGAAGATGACATATAAGAATAGATCCTAGAATGATAGTATACGGTATGAAACTACAAAGGTGTTGTTGACTATTTTTTATGGAATCAATATTCTTCATCAAGATCACTATACTCCTTGATTAATATATCATCTTCACGATAATTTTTCAATGACAAATGCCATGATATATTTTGTTTGATATATTATTAGACAATGTTTATTCCTTGTTGGATGATGATTATGAACAAAATCTGAATAAGAATAAATCTATAACAGAGTATGTGTTTTTACTTGATGATGGATGAATTAGTTGAAGATCTATTTTGTAGAAATAATTAGCTCATTTCACAATGAATGTTAAACATGTAGCAGCAATGAAAGCATCAAAGTAAGCTATTTGATTGAATAGTATTATCACTACGATGAAAATAAAACAGTACAATATCTATCCTTTTGTGATAGTCAGAGTGTGTTACATCTTGTTGCAAATCAAATGATGTATGATAGTGTAAAATGTATAAATCAGGTCTCATGTTATCTGTCGTGCGAATATATATCGTCATACATTCTACATCGCTCACATGCTCCTCACATACGCATTCACACACATATACACATATAAAACGCGAGAGCGTACACACTCAAATGTACC